CACGCAGTGGCGCACCTCGTATTTTTTTTCCTTTTTCTTTTTTGTTTTGAAGCATTAGTACTTATACATATTAATTTTGTCCTAGTGTATATGAGTATTGTTTAGACAAGAATTGATTTACGGTCTACTCAAGTTTGAAAGTGTTCTGCATAAGTTGCTTTTAAGCAACCAATGATGATATGAACTTATTCAATAGAATAACTTGCCGCACTGATATTCACAATCTAAATTTGCGTTTTTGGGGGTACATATCACCCTCTCACCTACAATACCTTCGTTTTATGTTTTACCGAGTTTTATATTTCAAACTGCTTATGTCGTTACGATTTCTAAATTTTTCTACCACTTTTTGTAATACTTCTCGCATCCGTTGCAGTGTAAAAAATGGTTTCTAGGAGAAAACGTGTGCTTGCATTTCAAGTATATTCATGCTCATGGTAACTTTACTTGACTCCATGTCTTACTTTAGGTCTATATAACTAAATTTAACCACTGAATATACTGAGTGATAAAAAAAGTTAAACACCTACGTATGTTTATCCGATTTTAATAATTTTTGGCATATATTTTCAGTGTCCCTTACTAGCAAAATAATTAAATTTTCATAATGTGTTGAGGATCTACGATTTCTTATACACTCATTGAAACGCCTGGGCATCGTGCTGATAAGGTGGTCGATATTTTGTTGGGGTATCTCATTCCAGGCCATTGCAACTTCGTGAGTAAGAGCTGCTAAAGTCTGTGGAGGGTGTTGCAAATTCAAGAGCCTGCGACCTATCATATCCCAGACATGTTCAATTGGATATAGGTCATGCGAACCATCCTTCCCTGCTCTTCAAACCACTGATTAGCGATGGCTCGAGTACTAATGAATCTGCCTCTCAGAGCCAGAACTCTTCACTGGCGGTTTTGTTGCTCTGTGGTCCGTCTGGGACGTCCATAACACCTCGCTCGCTGTCGTCGGCCATCCTGCTCGTTCACACTGCGTAAGGATCTGTTGGGCCTCCTAGAACTTCTCTTATCGATAGACCGGCTCCACGCAACCCGACAATTCGACCACTATCAAAGTCACTTAGCTGAGAATTCTACGCACTCTAGGCATTTTTAGTAATCACAAAAAGGCTTCTCAATAAGCTACACGAAATTTAACATTTAACTGACACCGTAAATGTACGAAAACTGAATGCTTCTTCATGACCAGACAATACACGCAGCCACCATAAAAACAGAAAAACAGCTGACCATTTTATCACTTGTTGTTCATGGCAAGATTAAACGATATGTAAAAAATTCTTGAATTCTAATAAACATACGTAGCTGTCTACCTTTTTTTGTCAATCAGTATAAATGAAAGAAACACGGGTCACGTATAAGGTAAAGATATACTAAGTGTCATATAAAATGCAACCCCCAGGATTATTTAGTGAATTTTGCTAAAAACTTGTAAACATATTTGCTATCATGGAAGTATACGCTGATAAAATGGTGAAGGCATTTCGAGCCGTAGTTTTTTTGTAAAGGCTTTTTTTGTCATATCAGGATCCGAACAAAATGAACATGTTTACTTAATATTCAGTGATTTTTCTGTGTTCGTTCCATTTATTTCATTGTTATTTCATTGCCTGATAATGCTTTGAGTTCTCAGACGCTCTAATTTCACTCAATTTTCCGAGTTTGAGAGGGGTCGGATAGACGGGATACGTGAACCCCGATTTTCTTTTAATGAAATCGCTAATCGGGTGAGTCGAAACGAAACTACTTAATGAGATGTTGTCTAGTGTGGTTCCAAGGAGGCCGAAATCGATTAGATAGAGGTGCAGGGCGTCAAAGACACACTACAGAGCGACATGATCGATATTTGAGGCAACTAGCACTTAGAGATCGATTTTCCACAACAAGGGTGGTTGCGAACCAATGGTTTGATGCTGTCGGAAGGGCAATAACAATGAGGATAGTTTGTCTCTGAATAAGGTGTTTTGGACAGTTTTCATACCGTCCCCATCTTGTACTACCTCTGGACCCCACAGCGTCGTCGTCAATGATTGGTATGGGGAGAGACTTGAATGGAATATGGAATGGAACTCAGTCGTGTTCAGCGATGAGTCAAGTCCAGATCTTTTCCCGATCGGAAATATATGGGACATGATGGGAAGAAGGTTGCAAGATTCGCCGCACCTTCCACAAACATTGGAGGCTCTACGAAACCAAATTCAGATGGTCTGGTATACAATACACCAAGAACACATCAATCACCTAATCCAATCAATGCCGTGACGACTTAACGAATGTGTAGCGAACAGAGGAGCCTCAACACATTGTTAACATTAAGTTAGGATATCTCAGCTATTTTGCGAAATTTCGGGTAGTAAAATTTTAATCACTTTCTATTTATCAGTAGACCTAAAAATTGGAAAAGTATGCTCAAAATTGCAGCACTCCTAGCCGGAGTTTTCTGTCATTTAGTATATTTACGAAAAATAATATTCGTACTATTTTAAAACAGCAAGAATTATGGTTTTTGACAAAATTCAGAAAACATTTTGTTTAACAAGGCTGACAATCAAAAACGAGACTGGTTCGTAAATGAAAAGGTGTATTGTTAGGAGACAAAGCAATAAAACCTTCACGGTACTATGGCCATTTACCTTAATTTCAAGGGAAATTAGTGCCATTATTTATGAGAGGTTGAACCAACACAAAATCTAAAATTTATCGTCTCACAGTTTTCAGTTTGCAGTTTATGAAATAAACCTATTTCTACAGACAAATACATTTTTGAATAACAAAGTTACAGAAGCATCTATACGAGTAGAAGAAAAATGCTATTTTGCGGTCAATGCTCTAATATGGACAATTCGTAGGAATGTGTATTCTCAAGTCATCGTTGGTTGCCAAAGCGGTCCTTGGGACCTTAGCTCTTGAGTCATAGTGTCAGTTTGTATGTCTGTCAGGTCTGGTAACCCAGAAACCAGACAATTTTAAGGAAAAAAGGGAAGAAAAGGACAGAAGGAAGAACGAGAATCTTTTAGGACAGAGGGCGTTTAGGTATTGTTAAAATCACTTGACAGATTTTGATATGGTATAAAGATATTTGATTTTGTCAAAATGCTCCAATTTTGGTGGGTATTTGAAAAATAGTAAATGAATATTAATTTTTAGAACTTGTATATTTTTTATTTTCTTAACTTTATTTATTATACAAATACTGTACTGACTGTTTTCTTATGATGTGAGATGCACTTTGCATATTCTTTCTTCTGTACCCGTAGCCATGCTTAAGTTGTAATTTTTTGCTGAACGATGGTCCCTGATGAATGTACAAAAAAGAAATCCTAGCATGAACTCCTGATAATAATGACAAACAACAAAATGTTTTTGTTGCAATATTTGGCTTTAGTATTGCCAACTACAGTCCAGCCACCAACAGAAAATGTGGAAAACACGATTAGTCTTTACTGTGATCCGTCAGTATGTATTTATTATTGATGTATTAAAGGGTTAAGTATAGAAATTCCACTAATACTGACGGATGCGTCAGTAAATACTGATGGACGGACCACAATAAATACTGATTGCTTGACACTCGCCTAAAGGATATTTATTTGTAGATTTAATAAAGGTTTTGTTACACCATGATCGATTTAAAGTATGTATTACCCTTATTTGAATGCCAATATGGTGAAACTAGGAATGCACGACTTGACATGATTTACAAGCTACTTATTTTTACGTCAAGTACTTGAAAACTAAACTAGTCTTGATATTACTTGACAATTTTTGTAATATAAATGCGAGAGTAGATTATAAATACACAACCGAAAAACTTTGTGGTACAGAAAAAACAATACATATTGAACAAAATAATTTGTATGGCGAATAAAAGAACAATAAAACTGTAAGCTCAAATAGAAAAAAAAGCATTTCTTCAACAGATGATATACAAAAATGAAAAGTTCTGAATGAGCTTTCCAATCGCTAACCACGAGTTAAAATACATGAGGATCCTAACGGATTTATCGCTTAATGTATAATCCTATAAAATTCCCTTGCAATGGGAGCTGATGTTGCAGATGTCGATAAGAATTCTCTTGCCATTAAAACTACATTTTTTCATGCCTTTTCCACTTGTCATTATTTGCATTAAAATACAAAATACGGCTCATCGGTTGTACAAATAAATTTCACTGAATACTCAAAATGTAATTTGTCATGAAGCTCAAGTTGGTTTGAAAACCTTGAGCCAAGTAGAACAAAAAAGTCAAGTTGAGACAAGCATTAACATTTCAAGTAATTCTATTTTCAAGTCGAGTCAACTAGATTATAAAAATATCTAGCTACTTGACTTGATGAATCTCTTTGCTTATAACTTTCAAAACGGTGATCATTTGTGAGAACAAGGAATTTGTTGCGTCCGTTTTGTAAATGAAGCGAGACAGACAAACAGACATGAGACTATCAAGTCTGATCTCTGAGGACTTACTTGTGGCAGAAATCTATTTACATTTAAACTGAGATTTGCTAAAGCGAATGTGAAATAAACTGAGTGAACTGAAGTGAGGTGAGCTTATCTGAGATTGTGTGTAAATGGAACATGACTAACGTTCTGGCGCCTGGCAACGAATTTCTGGCGGTTATGGGCAGCTGGGAAAACCAACCATTTCTTTACAGTGCGTTTGAGTTTGCAAAAAAGCATTGATAAGTAAGATGATGATTCTCTTCCTTACTATTTTGGCGATATTGCGTGAAATGCGAAGCGGATTAATCGTTCCCGTCTCAGTGTGTTTCTGGTCTAGAACCATTCTCAAGCGTACACATATATGGAATTTTCGAAATTACCAGTTTTATTTTCCACCACCGTAGTCAGGAGTCATGTAACTTTTCTTTCTTATATGGTATCTGCGCAGGAAGTATATATTAAGCCAGTCAACCTGAGTCCACTTCTTCGGTTATATGTATAGAAAATGTAATAACAGTTGTGGCTACTGTTTGATGAATCTCACCTAGGATAACGATCAGGATGTTCACAATATGTTAATCCTGGACGGGCACATGGTGGTGTCTTTCCAGGTGGAGCTGGTAGAAAACTGCATGAATCGTGAGGGCTTCCATATACTGGTGTGCATATTGTATGACTAATAACCACAGCATTTGTTGATGCCCATGCTATCTGAAAATAGATACATAAGATGTGTATACAGAGTAGCCGGTAATAAATGCTCTGAAAAGCAATCATTGTTTACACTCGTGAAAATAATGATGCCTTAACAAAATGTAGCCTGTTAATGAGATAGTGGCTGCCAAAGTTTAACTATTATAATCATTTTTGTAATGCGGGGATTTCTAAGGATGGAACATGCTATTTAATTCTCTTAAAATAACCTATGAAGATTGTTATTTACTATCTATATTATGTCGCACCATATATACTACTACTGTTTCATTATTTGTTATTGAAAATCGTGATACGGGGTTGATTTTCAAGGGTAAAAGTTACTATACATTCGATCAAACAAATATATGTCACGTGCAGCGCTTTTTGAAAAAATCGCTCCTACTTATTTTTTGAACGGATCAAGTTAGCAAGTTGACCTTACCGTAGAAAATTTCAAGGTGTCGGTCGGGCACCATCCAGAAAATAAAATGACTCTTAAGACGAAGTTGAGCGTCTTACTTCCTACGCCACTGAGCAAGGAGCTATTGTAATCGCGAAAAAAATCGAAAATGAGATATTGTGTTTTTTGGATGTTATATAACATGTACATCACGACGTGCTGTCACTCATTTCCGTCATACAGTCTGTAGGTCTGTCTGTCGTTCTGTATCTCGGTCCTTGGCCTGTCTTTAACCTAAGAAGTGCCGCTAGGATTTTGAAGAAATTTTCACACACGGTTGTTACTAAGCCAAGAACGAAAAATCTTTGTAGGTTTTGAGAGACGGCCCAGTGGCGGCGGAGAAAAAAGCAAAAAACATAAATAAATAAAATAGCTCAAACTTCGATTTTTGGCGTTTCCCAGGATCCTGATCGTTTTTCAAACAAAATTTCGAGGTAAGAAACTTTAAGGTGGAGGATGTAGCGAGGTGGGGAGAATTTATTTCAGTTTTCTGATGTTAGTACATTTATACGCTCCCAGTCTTGGTAATCCTACGCACCTATTAGATATATTTCACACATCGACACATCATGGATTTCTTTGTACATTAGCCCTTTACACAAAAAAACAGACTGACCGCGTCCCTATCGGCCGAGGTTGCTACACCCGGCGGCGTGCCGCCGGCCTTGGTCGTGGTATTTTCACCTACAGGCCAAACGGCTGGACGGATTTTCACATATGAAGTGTCGTTCGATTCGTCTTAGCGTTGCGAGTAACACTAGCTACATTGAAATTTTATAAAAAACAAAATGGTGGATTTTAATAAAAGATTTCAACCTTGTAATTCCTACTTCATAGGCTACAGATCAAACGGCATGATAGATTTTCACATATGAGGTGTCGTTGGATTCGTCTTAGCGGTACGACTGACACTAGCTACATTGAAATTTTATAAAAAACAAAATGGTGGTTTTTGATAAAAGATTTCATCCCTGTAATTCCTGTTTCACAGGCTGTAGCTTAAACGGCTTCTAGCTCCACAATAGAGGGTATCGTGTCTTCACTGTAAAAACAAGATAACTCCATTTTTCTACATTACCTATATTTTAGTATGTTCTGTGGAGCAGGATTAACCTGTTCATGTTCAGAAAGGTGGTGGTATAACAGTAAATGGAAATGACTTAGTCTAAACAACAATGTTTTTCCATTTCCTTTTACGATTTTTCTGGTCTTTCAAACTTTTATTCAGTTCGTTGAGCCGGAAGAACATCCTTGACCTGAAAAACAGTTTTTTAGCTTTTTCAGGGTAGTCAATGTTGCTGCTCTTCAACAGAAGTTCACCTATAACATTTTGCTTTTGTCACTATTCAGTCCCCATTGATTGTAGTGAATAAATACCTTGTTCAGCTTCTCAATTTGATTCATGAAAGTTGCGGAAGGTTTTGATAATCCACCCTCACTAAGATGGTCTATCCATGAATAAGTTTCATTTGAAGAACTTTTCAAGCTCTCATCCTGTAATGTATTGCAAACAAAGCCGGCCAAATTTTCCAGCCCGTCATACTCGAGCCCATCTATTTCTTCCACTAAAACTTGCTCGGTATAGTCAGCTGATACTTGAATTCGGTTTATTCTCGTTAATGATGCGGTTAGTGGTTAGTAGAATGTCTGGAGTATCCTCTGACTCTTCGCTGCAATAGGTACTGAGAGTATGCGCCTTCGTTTCGCCCCAACATATATGACCTTATTCTATACTTAAACTCTAGAGGACTTGTATGGTCATGAAGACCATCTTTTGCCCTAATTACTCGGAAAAATCACATCTTAAGACGTCTTGTTAACAGGTATTGGACGCTGAAGCGTCGTTTCAGATCATCTAGAGCATTTTCTAGAAAATCCTAGCGCTTTTTACATTGAATTTGTCTTATCTTTTTGTGAGATGTAGCCATTTTCTTGCTAAAGTTTGGGTCTTGAGGAAAACTGTGGAACTTCGTGTCTTTGCAAATATTCCGTTTAGATTGATCGTCGGAATCCCACAAGAGCCCACCGCTTTTTTATCAATTTATCAACCACACAGGGTATATAAGGTATGTATAACTAATACAACAAGTCACAAAACCACCAAAAAACACCAACAACTCGCACTATATAGTATTAACCACGATACACGTGAACTGCAGTAACGTTACGACAATCCTGCCGCTGGTAACCACGAGCCGATAACTCTCCGGGTGACGTCACGAAGCTCCGCCCACATGCGCAATATCCTATCTTCAGTGTATGTGTATCGTGCGTCTAACCGGGTTAAGTATAGTGGAGAGGCAACGTTTCCGGATGCACTACCGGTAGGGCAGGGAAAGGATGTCTATGGACTAATGTCGACAGTGGCGGCTCGTGGCAAAATAAAACAGGTGTTCTGCAAATCCGAGCTTACCTATTTTTTATGTCAGTTCGATCCTGCGCTTCTTCATGACAGCAAATTTGTCGATCACCTTCCTGTTGAAATTTTCCATGGTCGAAATAAATTCCTTTTTAATGGACAGCATCGACAACGCTGCAAGGCGATCCTGAGTCATAGTATTTCGAAGAAAGGTCTTGATTATTTTCAATGTTGAGACATTTCGCTCAGCCTCTGATGTTGACATAGGAGTTGTAACAATAATTTCTAATAGCTTTTTTGTTTCTTTTAGTGTTTCCTCCAAACTATTTTGTATCAAAAATTTCAAAAGGGACAGACTTCCATGTAAACCTCTGCAATCATTCCGTGCATAACTAACATATAACTCTATCTTTAAACGACTTTTTTCTAATTCGGGATAAGCCAAGCAGGTAGTTTCCAACTTGTCATCAGGAAACTTACCACAGTATTCTCCAACGTGTTCGGGGAAAAAAGGGATGCGGCTACCAAATGATCTTTGAATTGAAATCTGTCATTTGCAGAATTCACTATATTGTCGCATACTTCTAATGCGGCAACTCGGTGATCGTGACTGCTATTATTACGTCGTCTCCTTTTGTTGCCTTGGGGTTCAGTGCAAATACTTTTGCCTTCATTTATTATGTCATCAATTTTATTTCTCACATCGACAATACATTTTTCAAAATTATCGAAAGCCGTTTTAACTTGCGCTGGCTCGGTTTTTCTCTTCTGCAACTGGTTGATCAAGATGTCGACGTGAGGCATGACATGATGAAAAAATGTGAACCAAAACACGAAAACAGAATCGTTTAACACACGGCGAATACCGCAAGCTGCCTTGCAAATGGTTTCATTAGTGAAATTTTCTTCTATTTCTTCCATGCATTCATTGAGTGATTCTCTGTTGTCAAACACTACATTTATTGTTCGAATATTAAAATACCAACGAGTTGTTGCGCATTGGGGAATTTTTTCCCCACAATTCTGTTCAGTACCTCTACGCATTGAGGAGAATTCTTAAAAAATCCCGGAATATCTTTCAAATCCCCAAAGAACACCTGAACTTGAGGATTTGCGGAAGCAGCTTGGGACATAATCAGGTTTAACTGATGCGCATAGCAATGCACATAGTGAGCAAATGGATATCTTTGTTTAATTTTTGCGTGTACTGCGTTATGTCCTCTCATTACCGCGGCTCCATCATAGCTTTGTGAAACCAGTTTGTTAGGAAAATTTCCTATTAATGGATCTACGACGCTCAAAATATGTCTTGTGAGAGTATCAGCGTCACATTTTTCGGGATTCATACAATTCCAAAAACGTTCTACTGGTTCGCCGTTAAATACGTATCTGAATTGTTACCAGTTCGGTTTTCCCCGAAATGTCCCTTGTTTCATCTGCTATTATCGCCAAATACGAGACTCTGTTAATCTGTTTTATTATATCTTCATGACAAATCTTCAAGAATACATTCCAGTAGATCGTTTTGTATTTCTTTCGAAGTTCCTTTAAATATTGAAGCAGTTTTTATGTGTTCGCTTAAGGTTGTATCAAGCTCAGCAGAAGAATTAATCAGTCAACGAAATATTCCCGGGTTTTGGGAGCTCTCGTTTTCGTCGTGGCCCCGTAGCGCTAATTCAAATGCTCCGCAAAATTTTATACAATCGATTATCTTTATTAATTATTATTTTTTGTAACGGTATCATTACGCTGTTGTATATTACTCCAATATGCTGAATCTAACTGAGCTCAGATGTTAACAGTCCCCAATAAAGCCAATTCCACCGAATTATGAAGATGTGTTTTAGAGTTTTCATGCTTCTTAATTTTTTCACTCAGGTGCACTAAATCTGTAACACCTACCTCCGTCCAAGCTTTGTCACCGCCGAAAAGTATGCAAGGAAAGTAGAAAAGGGCATTCTTCCTGTTGCATCCAGAAATCCAGTCATTTCTGGTGTAAATCTCCCTGCTGAAATGCCGCGTATAGCCCTTGCCCCGACTAACGCCCTGTGTTTCTATAAATATGTCCGGCAGCGGTCGACCTAACACCTTCAGCTGATTTTTTTCTTCAAATGTGTATTTCCAGACTCGTTTCACGCTGAAGTCTGTAAACTACATCCATTGTATTGCACTACCCTTCTACACAGCCACAGTCAG